TTTTAGCCAAAGAGGAAGGGAGATCTGAAAGGAACAAATTAAATAGAGAAGGGCTAAAACACAATCCTGCTTTACACCCTTGGTTACAGGAATGTTTTGTGTTAAGGCGCCTTTGTCATCAAATCTAACCTGACAAGTGTTAGAGAGATGAAATTTACGCAACAAAAACAGAAGGCGTTGGCCAAGATCCAATTTGTGTAATTTTCCCCACAGAGTCTGTCTATCCACTGAGTCGAGGGCTCTACGGAGATCAATAAATGCTATGTATAGCTTGCCTCTAGGGTGCCGAAGACGTTTTTCAGCTAAAAAAGATAATACTACACAGTGATCTAAAGTAGGGTGGTTTCTTACAAACCCAATTTGCTCTTTCTCTGGTAAATTATGAGAAGCAATCCACCCAGATAATTTCTCAAGAAGATGTTTGGCATAAATTTTCCCTAGAATAGACGAGAGACTAATGGGTCTGTAGTTCTCGAAGTTGTTTGTTGTTGTTGTTTTTCAGTCGCACAGTCGAGTCCGACTCTTCGCGACCCCATGGACCAGATCACTCCAGGCCTTCCGGTCTTCCGCCGTCCTCTGAAGTTTGCTCAATTTCATGTTCGTTGCATCTATGACACTGTCTAACCATCTCACCCTTTGCCGTCCCCGTCTTCTTTGACACCCTGTGAGGTAGGTGGGGCCGAGAGAGCTCTGAGAGAACTGTGACTGACAGAAGAAGAAGAGGAGGAGGAGGAGGAGGAGATTGGATTTATACCCTACCCTCCACTACCCTGAAGGAGTCTCAGAGTGTCTTACAATCTCCTTTCCCTTTCCCTCCCCACAACAGACACCCTGGGAGGCAGGTGGGACTGAGAGAGCTCTTTCAAGGACTGCTCCTGAGAGAACAGCTCTGAGAGAGCTTGTGGCTGACCCAAGGTCACACCATCTTGTTTCATGTGGAGGAGTGGGGAATCAAACCCAGTTCTCCCAGATTAGAGTCCGCGCTCCTAGCCACTATACCAAACTGGCTGAGGCCTGCCATTAACTAAATTCCCCCAGAAGCTGAAGACAGCGATTGAGTTTCTTAAACCTACCCTGGTAGGGGTAACAGCAAGGAGACAGGTATTGTGCCTGGCAGTAAGTAAAACTAATCAAGGGCACCGTGGATCCACAGCATCTTTCCGGAGAGGAGGGGTGCCGCTGGATCTCTGGATAACTATCTAGCCTCTCCCATCAGGAGCAGGGTCCAGATGATTTCGAGAGAGAGGAAGGTGGGGGAATTCTGGCTCTCACACACTTCAAAAATAGCACTTGGCGGGAAGGCAGGGTGCAGGCCCAAGCACGCCTCCAATTTTAATTTGGAAAAAGCACAGCTCAAGCAGCAAGAGCTTGGGAGCTGGTGTGCCGCAGTTGTGAGGCGAGGGATCATTTGGAAGCGGCCTCAGTTTCCAGCGGCCCTGTGTCTCAGCATCCCCTGGCAGATTTATCTCTTCCGCGGACAAGGAGATGATCCGCAGATGTGTAAGTGGACTGGCCGTGTCTGATATCACTAAGCACAGGACACAAATTGAGAGTTACAACTCCCTCGGGACGCCGAGGCGCTCCGAACGAAGAAGAGGTTTGCGAAAAGAGATACTGTATTTGGACAATTACAGTAACAGAATGGTTTATATAGAAAAAAAAGAAGTAGAGCCGCACTGAGATGAAATACAACCCGAAGCCTGCTGGGGCTACAATTAAGAGACAGTCTGCTAATAAATTGCTCGTCAGAGTTCTGGGACAAATCCTTCAATGTCGCAACGATCGGATCTGCCAGCTCTTCAAACAGGTGTCTCCTGAAGGGCCCCCGGTCAGCCATGACAGGCTTCAGGCCTAGCCCTTTCAACATGGCTGCGTGCTGCTTGTCGTTTGCTTCGAGTGGAAAATATTTCCGGAAGCCCGAAGGGGAAGAGAGTGTCATATATCAAGCGGTGATGAGGTGTAAAGAGCCGCCTGTCATGAAAAGCACAATGGGATGGTAAATGTCTTCTCCCCGAGCCCTGCTTGGTTTCTGGCAGCTTGTCGAGAGTCAGACGCTCAACTGGCCACCTCCGGCAGCCCGCAGAACATGCGTCTTTGACTCTGAAAGTGATCGGGCATGCTTGGCAGAGGGAGGAAGTCCCTCTGCAGAAAATATGAAAGGCGTCCTGGAGACGGAGGCACCGAAACACATTGCCTCAGGTGGAGCTCGCAACCTTAGCGTATGAAATTACAGAGGGAACAGAAGGTTCACTCTGAATGTTCGCTGCGCCAGATTCAGAAAAGATTCGGGGTCCACTGGAGGACAGGATTATCGTGTGCATAGTTGAAGGTCTCCAAGGCCTTCCTACTTTAGGGTTACCAGCTCCAGGTTGAGAAATTCCTGGAGATTTTGGGGGCGGAGTCTGACAAGGGGGGTCAGGAGGGGCAGGGATTCAGTGGAGTGTAATGCCAAACTCTCAAAGCGGCCTGTAACGATTCCTTGTCTTATATGTGTGTGTGTCGCTTTAAAAGTTTGGTTGCATGGCTGTGTGATAGAATAGAGTGGTTGAAGAGACAAGTGTGGTGTGATTGGTGATTGACAGAGAGGGGGAGGGGTTTTAGAAAGTGTTTCTGAGTGGATGAATGGGTATGTCCTTCAGGAGTGACAGTGAGAGGTTTGACAGTTGATAAAGACAGTTGATAAGAGTTCGTTCTGAGGTCTGAGGGAGAGAGACAGTCTTGTGTGTGATACAAGAGTTAAGTTCTGTGTATGAAGAAAAGTTGAATATATAAGGAAACAAAAGTTAAATGAAAGTCTGAGTGACAGACTGGAGTGAAAAAGGAAACGTATATGACCCTGAGTAATGAGTTACAAAAAGTTACTTGAAAAATCCCTGTCAGAAAGGGAGCAGATCTTGTGTGAGACACAACGAAATTGTTAAAATTATTCACATTACTGGTTACATTGTTCTACACTTTTATTTATGGACTGTTTCAATAAATCTTCTTTTATTTAAGTCTGCCAGCTCTGAAAGAAATAATTTCTCAGGAAACACATAGACCCTCATGAGACTTAAAAACTCGACCTACCTATCCAGTGATAGCCAAAAGAAAGTATAAAGGTTTGGAAAGCCTAAAATTTCCTGGTGGCAGCCTAACCTACCCAGTTGAACAAAATAAAAAGAACACTTTAAAGTGAAACCAGACCTCCCCAGATAAGGGGACGTCACACGGCCATTTTCTCCAAGGAACTGATCTCTGTCACCCGGAGATCAGTTGTAATTCCAGGAGAAATGGAAGATCGCACCCCATCCTACTTCCTCTTTTGGCCATGATTTCACTTTGATAGACCTGCCTTTGAATTTTTGCTCTTCCAGCTCTGTTCCCTCTCCTATGAATACATAGGATACATCCACTGTCTGATGTAATGTAATCAGACCAGCGGTTCATCTAGTCCAGCATCTTGGTTCCCAGTGGCAAACAGATGCCCCTGAAAGACTTACAAGCATGGCATTGGAAGCCAAAGCCTAGCATCTGTTGTTGCCCTCCCAGCACTGGTATTCAGAGACACCAGGGCTATTTCTGGGCAGGAACGCACAGGAACGGAGTTCCGGCTGGCTCCCGAGTTGGCCACGCCCAGCAGGAACTCATTAGCACAATAGGCCACACCCAACAGCAGAAACTCATTAGGGTTGGCTACATTAGGGGTGTGTGGCCTAATATGCAAAGGAGTTCCTGCTACAAAGAAAAAGCCCTGGGTTTTGACAACAAACAAGGTAAACAGAATAAGAAGCAAAAGGTGGGTGTGGCTGGATGACCATACTTCTGGTAACATGGGGGTGCATCCTAATGTGCTAATGAGCTGTGCTGGCAGGGGCGTGGCCTAATATGCTAATGAGTTTCTGGTGTTGGGTGTGGCCTATTATGCTAATGAGTTCCTGCTCGGGTTTTTCTACAAAAAGAGCCCTGAGAGACACTGCCTCCAAAGATGGAGGTTCCATTAAGTCAACGTGGCTAATAACTATCCATGGGCTTGTCCTCAATTAATTTGTCTAATCTCCTTTTAAAATCAACTGGATGCGTAGATATTAACATCCTCCCAATGCAGCAGTGGTCTCCTATGAGTGAAGGAGGACTTCCTTTAGTCTGCCCAAACCTGAATTTAAGGGTTCATTTCAGGGTGGGGGGGATGAACGTACATCCTCACAGGAAGAATACGAGCATCAGAGAGAAAAAGAAACATTTCTAGCACAGCATGGAGAGAAGCATTAGCAAGAGCTATTAGAAGTGCTTCTGCTTCAGGGTTCAGAGAGTTTCTGGTCTCGATCACCAGCAGCCGAGGCCTTAGTCTTGGTAATCTTGGTAGCATTCGGCAAAATGTCAGCTAATAAAACAAAGACGTTAAGACTCGCTTAGACTTCAGCTGAGTGAAGCAATATCACTAGGCCCTGAAGCAGAGACCCGCAGACACCTATGGTGCCCGTTGTGTCAGATGGGAATCCTACAGGGGTATCATTAAGTGATCCTAGAGGCTTAGAGGTCTTCCAGGGGGCACTGTTCAGATGGTAATCTATGCTCAAGCTGCCAAGCTACAGCCTACTTCTGGGCCCACTCAGTGAACCGGTAAGCCTTGGACTTCTGCTCTAAAGTCCAACCCCAAGGGCACCAGCAATTTCTAGGATCGCAAGTCTCGGTCAGATACACACCTGGAAAGCAGCAAACCACATGAGCCAGTCCAGACGATAGTGATACGGACTGATGAAACAGGGCCTCCGGCGCAGATCCCCGGGCTTACACTTGAACTCGTACTCCTCCCAAAAGGCAGCCGGGTCGCTGGGATCCAGGCTGGAGGTCCCTTGAATGACGACCTCGGTTCTCTCTTTGGTAATGCTGCGAACAACAATGCCGGGAGAGTTATCCTCTGGAGCCGCGAGTAGACCGACTCCAAGCCAGAACTCCTGTAGCCCATAATGGCGGGACAAAGGAAGTGTAGCCAGATCACAGAAGCACACCAGTAAGGATACAGCCTTTGAGATGCAAAGTGCCTAAATGGATGGGAACCCTTGAGAGTGCAATGCAAATTCCCCCAGAGGACAGCCAACCTCGGGAAGATCCCAGAAAGTACGGGGTAGACATCTTTTAAATAAATTAATTAAATGTTGGAGGGCAGGGATTGGGGGAAAAGGTTACTGAGGGCAACACTGGTGACTGAAAAACTACAAACTGAATGGAGAGACTGCATAGATAAAATTTGTCCCCCCCCCCACAGGAACATCAGAATTGGTTGCTAGCCAATGCATCTGACCGACAGAGGCAGGGACAGAGAGAAGAAATGCTTCTTCCTGTAGCAGTGAATCGCCTTCTGGAATTCACTGACTACAGAAGGAAGCCACAAGAAAGAAAGAAAGAAAGAAAGAAAGAAAGAAAGAAAGAAAGAAAGAAAGAAAGAGAAAGAAAGAAAGAGAAAGAAAGAAAGAAAAAGAAGAAGAAGAAGAAGAAGAAGAAGAAGAAGAAGAAGAGGAGGAGGAGGCGGAGGAGGAGGAGGAGGAGGAGGAGGATTG